CATATATATATTATATATTTATCGGAAGGGCCATCAAGGTGTCAATTTGCTTGAAAACAATGAGAAGACAGTTAACTTTACACCAATTTTTTATACACAATTTCAATAATTCTTGTACTAGAATACACACACATATAGACATATATACTAACAGCATGACTGAGCGATAGTGGAGTTACTTCCTCTCCCCCCCCCCCCCCCCCCCCCCCCCCGAGTCAGCTTTATCGCAGTAGTTGTTGTGCTTTGTGCATCAGCACATTACAGATAAATTAGACAAAAAACACGTTGATGATGTCCTAAGGATGAAAGAGTGATTTGTTTTTATGCGTAGCATTGTCTCAGGTACCTAATCCACCCTCGATGTCATGTACACCTTAATTGTTTTCATAATGTTTATAAAGAAAAAAGTTAACTAATTTAAAAAAAAAAAGAAAGAAAGATACATGTCTTTTAAAAAGCCATCTCATAATGTCATTAATTTGAAGGATTCAGAATTCAGGCGAGTCTTAAACAAAGGACTACATTAGTTTGTAAAGCAGATTGTCAACTTGTGCCCAGACGAGTTTGTTGTATATGTTAGCGGGCAGTCATTGTAAATAAACATTATCAAGTGTGTGGTACATATATGGACTATTCTATTGCTGTTGTTGTTATCTACATAGAAATACATATGTACGTACAGGCATCAAGTTTATAGTGTTTACTTACCTTTTACCAGGCTTGTTGTTCTGTGTACACGTGTCACTGTTATTTGTATTGTATCCTTTAACTTTTAAATGTTACCAAATAACAAAAACAAAACAAAAAAATATATTATATACAGTGAACAATTTTTATGTTTGTGCAAATACAAGATTTATTTGTATGGATAAATATGAGATATCATTTTCATGATTGCCGAAGTATCCAGATAGTTACACACTATATTATTGCATAGATCATCATTTAGACAATAGTTTTAGAGAATAAAATTTTATTACATGAGAGCTTGTGGCGTGTTATTTTGGTATTTGCAGACTTCCATCAGATCAGTGGATCATGACAATGACAGAAAAAGTGTCGGGATTGAGAGACACATATTCCTTTTAGTGAAAATGTCCTGATAGAGAGATTTGTGTTCCTAACATGGGCCCATGGGCCACAAAAGTCACCCGTGTAAAAATTGGAATGATGCTATGTTAAGTAGATCAAACTTCAAAGAATAAAACCGCAGTCGGTTATTAAGGGTCCCCCAAAGCTTGAAAAGTGTGCTAAGAATGATTTTCCAAAAATTTGTCGAAGTTTACTGTTAACCCTTTCACCATTGTGTCACTTTAGTAAACTCTTCCATGCATTAATCGGGATGAGTCTATTATGGTCTACAGTGGTGAAAGGGTTAAGCTTCAGATGAGACTTCATTAGAAGGCTTTGCACTTATAATAAACAATTTTCCAGCCTCTGTGCCCACGTAGAGGGTCAGTCCCTTCTTAGTGGATTCTGATCCTTATCATCTTGATTTTTACCACCTCCATACTCGAGGTTTTTTTTTCCTCGCTTTTGTTCTGCCCCACCCCCTGGAATATGTCACGACAAAATTGAAGGCATGCGATTAGCTATTCGATTGGTTTCAGGTAAAAACCTGACCAATCGCTAGGCCGATACCTGTCCTCTGTAGGGTACAGAGGAGCAATACCCCATTTAACAGTAGGTTTATTTTACCATCACACGGCCGAGCGAATCTTTTAATGTACATCAAAGGATCAAACTATTCTATTTGAAAAATCCATGCGGAGGCGAATGCAGCGCTGTTGAATTTAGCATGACTTGTTCCAGGGGTGCAGAGAATGTGAGTAAGCCTAACCCCTGGAGTTCCAAGGATGGGAATGCTAGTGAAAACCCACAAGTGAATCTCAGTTATGTTATTGAAAGGTTTGAGCTCTTGTTTTCCCATAGGGCCCTACTCCTTAGCCCACGGGAGGCTTAGTCGATCGAGTATGGATTCTGATTCCCACCACAGGTTTATGATTACCCCTAGGTTAAATCAAAATCTGACAGAGGAATTCTTTAGAGAAGTGCTTACAGATGACAGACAAAAGGCAATTGCAATAGGTCACCTGAGTGACGGACAAAAGGCAGTTGTAAAGTCACCCGAGTGACTAGGGTGACCTTACAATGTCATGATGAAAAGGCATGTATTCCTATAGCTATTGTAAGTTTCATGTAGAAGAGATATTCTTCAAAGCCTTGCACTGTGACTTAATTTATCATGCCACCAAGTGTGTTTCTGATTCTAATTGAATTGTGTAGGCCCTTTGTTACACTTACAAGAATATATGATACATACAGTGTCATGCATCTCCTTTCAAAACATCATCTGATAATGCAAATTTGCATTTAAGTGTCCATAGTAAGAACAACCAGTAGTCAATAGCTTCCCAGTCCAAGGATAACACCCATCAACATATAAAAGATATCCAGGATCACTAATCATGCTGGAAAGCATATTTTCATGAAAAGGCTCAGTGTTCCCTAACTTAGAATCCATGTGATGTTCTCTGTATCAGGCTGCTTTGTACCTTGCTTCAGAAGGAAAACAAATCGCCAATTGGTTTAATCACTTTTCAGCTCACCTGCCCAAAGGCAAGTGAGCTTATGCCATGGTGAAGCGTATGTCGTCTGTCGTCAACTTTTCCTTTAAAATGCTTCTTGTCTTGAACAGCATAGTGGATCTTTAGGCCAAGGGGGCTCAATTTTGTATAAACGGTGGATGTGGCCCCCCTGGGGGGCAGAGAAACGGGTCTAAATAGGGGAAATAGAAGTAAAACTTTTAAAATCCTTCTTCTAGTGAAGGGATAAAGGGATTTTATTCTAATTTAGTCTGAAGCATCCTTGGGCCAAGGGGACTCAAATTTGTACATGTGTTAACGGTTGGTGTTGCCTCCTTAGGGGCAGAAAGGTGGGTCTGAATAGGGGAAATAGAGGTAAACATTTTAAATCCTTCTACTATAGGGATTAAGAGATTTCATTCCAATTTAGTCTTGAGCATTCTTGTGCCAAGGGAAACAATTTCGTTTAAATGGTGGGTGTACACATGTGGCCCCCTAGCGGCAGAGGAGAGGGTCCCAGTTAGGAAATAGGGGTTAACTCTTCTTCTATCATAGGGATTAAGGAATGTTATCCTCATTAGTCCCCCACCGGTTCCGGTGGAAGGGGGAACATAGATTTGCACTCCGACCGTCTTTCGGTCTGTCAAAGAAGTTTGTCCGCGATATATCTTCTATACTATTTCACCTGGAGTAACCAGATTTGGTGTACAAGGACATCTTGGGATGGCGGAGTGCAGAGTGCAAGAATTATGTTACTGTGACCTTTTATACTTTTCTTTTGAAAAAGTTTGTCTGGGACATATCTTCTATACTATTTCAACTTGAGTAACCAGATTTGGCGTATAAGGACTTTTCGGAATGGGGGCGTGCAGAGTGTAAGACTTGGGTCACTGTGACTTATGACTTGACCTTAACTTTTGAAAAAGATTGTCCAGGGCATATCTTCTGTTCTTTTTCATCTGGAATAACCAGGTGTACAAGGACATCTTGGGATGACGGTGTGGAAGAAGTAGGTAATTATATCCTCACTGTGCCCTTAATGCTTCCCGACAAAAGTGTACTGTTTGTTAAATATAAAAATCATTACCAGTGGAGGACTATGGATTGCCTTGCAATACTCTGCCTTGTTAAGTCTGAAGCATCATTTGGCTAAAGGGACTCAATTTTTTAATAAACGGTGGTGTGGCCCCCCCTGGGAGCAGAGGGGCGGGTCCGAATAGGGGGAAATAGAGGTAAACCTTTAAAATCCTTCTTCTACCGTAGGGGTTTAGGTATTTCATCCCAATTCGGTCTGGAGGATCCTTGGGACAAGGGGACTCATTTTTTTTTATAAACAGTGGGTTTGGCCCCCCCCCCCCCCCCACCACCCCTTGGGGAAAGAGAAAGAGTGGTCCAAGAGGGGAAATGGAGATAAAACCTTTGAAATCCTTCTTCTATGGTGGATTAAGGGACTTTATCCCAATTTTGTCTCCATCAAGTTCTCTAGTAGTGCCTGCTACTATAAGGGTGTATTCATTAAAACAAACAAACGCCATCTTGGATTTTGACGTTTGAAGTTTGTTTTTGCTATATCTCCAGAAATACTGGATGGATCTTTCTGAAATTTCATATGTACATACAGTACCTACCATGGAGTGCTATTTCTCACATTTCCCTGTGTGTAAGATAGAGCTGTCCAGAGTAAGAAAGGGGTGTAGGAAATGTCTATCTTGCACCCCATTTCACGTGATGCGAGGTCACAATGGCGCAACAATGACGTAACGTCACGAATTGGAACTCTCCAATGCCGCAATGCGGAAAAGGCAATGTGATGAAATTAAAACCTTTTACAATATATTTACCGTACATGTTAGAAAGATGTGATTAATTGTTCATGCTCAAACATTGTTTTCAAATATGTGATATGCTTAATCTGGCTGGCTGATTCGTTTTCGTCTTAAAAGCTTGGGGGGAAAAGTTGATATTTTCAAAATGGTTTCTGGGCTGATTCTGGTGGTTGGAATGGGAGAACAAAATTCTTTCATGCCCAAGGGTGTAGGAGAGGGAAATTCCACCCTCTGGATTTTCATATTTGGCAAAACCCTCGGGTTTCACCAAATTTGAAAACCCCTCGGGTGGAATATTCCTATCCTGCACCCCTGGGTATGAAAGAGTCTTATAATCTTAACCTCATATCAAGTACATTTAAACATATCCAGGTAAGCAATACAGGCCCTCGGGGCCTCTTGATTACTACTATTGTCGTGAACTTGAAAATGTTAAAAATGATCACCAAGACAGAATGCTTTATCATCTATATGATGCCTTCTTTAAGTCACCATGTCTGTGGTTTACAAATTGAATTAGGTTGATACAGTAACATCATCTTGGAGCTACTGAACACATCATAGATATAGAAGAAAATGACCAGACATATTCAATCAATAATTTATTGTACTTTTCCTTTATATTTATATACAGATTAGATATAGAACAGACATGATAGTGTCTGGCAATCTATGATGATTAAAAGTGAGTTTTAAATACATACATATGTAGTACATGGCATTATATGTTTTTACATGAATTTGTTGTATTTAAAGGTGAAGTGAATTTACTCGATATAGAAAAATTAACTTTGCCAATACAGTACAAGACCAAATCTTGGCCATAGAGTACAATATAATATGTTGAACCACAGGGGTGACGCACAGATCCACCACCCAACGGTCAGTTTATATGTGTTTTATTTGATGCCTATTACACATATATAGACTGTGGGGTTAGGGATCTGTGCCACGCCCAGGTGTGTTGTACCTCAGGAGTATGCCAACTCTGATTTACAGTACAATTCCCAAAACAATAAGATTAACATTTTTACCCTATATATACCGGTAATTGAATATTAAGGAATACAGCTGCTCAACCAAATCCATTGCACTGGTTATTATATAACATTTTGTAGATGTCAAATCCTCTCAGACTCTGATCACCTCATTCATTCGAGACTTGAGAAACATGATTCATTCTTGAATTCTGTTGTCTCATTAATTCTTTATCACATTCATCCTTGATCTCAGTCATCTCTTACATTCTTTTCTTCTGTCACATTCATCCTTGACCTCAGTCACCTCTTACATTCGTGACTTGTGTCACATTCATCCTTGACCTCAGTCACCTCTTACATTTGTGACTTGTGTCACATTCATCCTTGACCTCGGTCACTTTAACATTCTTGACTTGTGTCACACTCATCCTTGACCTCAGTCACCTCCTACATTCTTGACTTGTATCACATTCATCCTTGACCTCAGTCACCTCTTACATTCTTGACTTGTTGTCACATTCATCCTTGTCTCTAGTCACCTCTACATTCTTGACTTGTTGTCACATTCATCCTTGACTCTAGTCACCTCTTACATTCTTGACTTGTGTCACATTCATCCTTGACCTCAGTCACCTCTTACATTCTTGACTTATTACACATTCATCCTTGACCTCAGTCACCTCCTACATTCTTGACTTGTATCACATTCATCCTTGACCTCAGTCACCTCTTATATTCTTGACTTGTTGTCACATTCATCCTTGACCTCAGACACCTCTTACATTCTTGACTTGTGTGACACTCATCCTTGACCTCAGTCACCTCTTACATTCTTGACTTGTGTCACACTCATCCTTGACCTCAGTCACCTCCTACATTGTCCATGTTTTCTAGAATGTAAACAGATTTCAAACCAATCTTCACATCATTACCTCATATTAGAAAACCTGGTCGGTCATAACAGGATGACACTGATTTATATAGATTTGAAAATAAAATTGATTTATTCTCTTCCTACATTATTTCAGTAAATGGCAAAAGTTAAATACTGTCTTTTAAGTATACATTCTGTATAATATTGAATATAATATGCATTTTTACTGAATGGATTTGCCACCTGAATTAAATAAAATATGATAACTGGTCAGATATCAAAACTGTTTGCATTCAAGAAAGCTGAGAAAACATCCATTTCAGGTAAGCATGCAACGCTATTCTTTACACAAAGATATTTCTCATTTCCACATTAAGTACTCTTCCCCTGATCAATATAACACACATGATTTTCACACCCCTGATATACAAACGATTCAACCCTAATATACCTAATGTCCTCACTGTTAACTCATTCATCCCTGAAGACACATTTGAACTCTTCCAATTCAAAGGTAGGAATAGTTCATTATGAAATTTTAGGGGTGAATGAGTTAATACATCTTAAACATACATTCATACAACAAGGACCTGCCACCAATCAATCATGAACATATGAATATATATCAATTTCTGTGACCTGAATATCAATCTTGGAGGAGATACAGCCTGTCTCAGTTCCAGAGTGAGGAGGACAGAGATTACCTCCCCTTTCACAAGGACGCCAATAGGAGATTCATGGTTGTCAGGACTCTACAAACTTGAAGCCCTTTTTCTTCAGGTCGGCTTTGGCTTCCTCAATTTGCTGAAACACGTAGTTATAAATATCATAGCAACAGGACTAGATTGAAGTATATGGTTTCTGAGAACATTTTTCAATATTGTATATCAAGGGTAATTTTTTCCCCCCAAACATGAAGTTGACAAATTGATTTTACTACAGTAATTAGTAACCATTGTCTACTGCAGCATGGAACAGAAATTTTCTGTGGTAACAAGCTACAAACTAAAGGCCAATGCTGTAATATATTTGTTAAAGAGTGTTTTCTGCCTGTAAATGGTGCATTTGGAATACAAACCTGCTGTAATTCCTCTGAGGCCTGGACACTGTCGTTGAACGTGGCCACTCTGTATCCTATAATGGCCAAGGAGACGCACTGCAACAGGATAACAAGTGTTATTATACCTCCTCAGTAATTACAGTGCTGATTGTATTATAAACTCATGAGAATATTTTCAAAAATATTGATTTTAAAATATCCAGTTTTGGGATTGAAATTGTAACACCAAATCACCCTTCATATTCATGCAAGTTATAAAGAATAATTCAATATCCAAAAAAAATCCATGTCAACTGGAATGTTGTAATAAGCAGTTTTAGGCAGTTTTCATTTCACAGATGACAGAAAAGTGCCAAGAAGTATATATCAAATACTTACTGCAAAAGTTATTAACAAATACAACGGGAGCTGAAAGAAAGAAAAAAACACCAAATTATATAACCATCAATATCTTCTACTTCTAAATGGTACTGACCAACTTCAACAATTTGAGGATAAAATGTCAGACGAGGAGTGAAACATGGAAAGAGATTGATTTTAAAAGATACGAGATGGTCTAATTTGCATTTGAAAAGTGACGGTAGAGTGCTGATTTGAATAATTCTGTTGTGGGGCTCAAAATAATGTCAGGTGGGAGTTTATTCCACTCGGGTATAGTTCGAGGGAAGAATGATGCCTTTCTGGTCTGGGTTTTTGAGTGGGGAATTTGATACGAAAACTGGTGGTTTGTTCGGGATTTTCTAACTGTAGGGAATCATCTGTCTGATTTTACGATAGCGACTTTCTGGTTTACAATGTTATGAAGCATGGTCAGACGAGCATCTCTACGTCTATCTGCTAGAGGGCGCAGCTTTAGGAGGTCCAACATTTCTGACACACTGGAGGTACGATTGTTGTACCTGTGCTTATTGAGCACATAGCGCGCTGCCCTTCGCTGGACCATTTCCAACTTTGTTTGGGTGTGAGGGTCTCATACTGTACAGGCATACTCAAGTGATGGTCGAACTAATGATTTGTATGCCTGTACTTGACTACTTTGGCTGATGTTGAGCCAATTTACAGATTTTGTCTTAAAAAGCCTAGCGTAGAATTTGCTTTTGGGCAGATAGTATTTATATGTGAATCCAAGTTAAGGTCAGATGATAGTGTTACACCCAGATACTTGGCCTGACTAAGATGTTCCAGTATGTGTCCATGTAAAGTATAATTATGGACTATTGGAGTTTTGTTTTTAGTCACCGACAACACATTGCATTTGTTTGGGTGGAAGATCATTTTCCATGTATTTTCCCAGAGCGCTAGTTTGTCAAGATCTTTTCGAAGTGTTTCAGCATCACTCTTTGACTTGATAACTAGATATGTAATAGTGTCGTCTGCAAATAAACGGATCGTAGCATCTAGACCCACAGGGATATCGTTTATAAAGTAAAGAAATAAACTGGGTCCCAAAACTGACCCCTGGGGTACCCCGGAATGGACATCGACAAAATCAGACTTCTCCCCTTCAACTACTACTGTCTGAGTTCTACCGGTCAGGAAACTCTCGATCCAGTTTGCGACATTTCCACGTATACCATAATGTTTTAGTTTATGGTTTAGGAGAGAATGACTGACCTTGTCGAAAGCCTTGAAATGGGATGTGTCTTAAGTAAAGGAATAGACTTGATCATTTTAATAGATACATACAAAATTTAGAAGTATAAAACATGAAAAACACATATCCATAAACAGCAGGCATAAAGATTCACATGGGCCTCAACAGTCCCCTGCGTTATACAGGGGTTTGGCGATAAATTGAGGATGTATAAAGGAATTCTTAAGAAATGAGGAAACGGAGCATTGAAATAAGTTGGTGGTAAACGAGGTGGTAATTGAAACGAGAGGTATTATATCAAGGTTTTAATGTATACCCAAATGAAGTTTGATGTCCTTACACCCTATACCCAGACAACAGAGGTTTATACACACAGTGTATACTTACAAACAGTACGACACCTTTATGTGATGTGGAAAAGTCTGTCTCTACATAATTCAGCACGAGGCTCAGCCACACAGCCAGGAATGCCCCCACCCCAAACAACCACTGGAACAGCTTGGGTATCTGAAAGAAAAATGAAAATGGTACAAGACACCAATTCCATTTAATTGTCCTATCCGGTGGAACTCGGTTAGGTGTCTATATTGATAACAACTGTAACATGTTTTATCACAATATTGCCCATATATACAGCTAAAAGGATAAAAACAGAGCACATCAAGATGGTGGAAAGATGGATTTGACGAATGGCTTCAGGTGGAATGCATCTGTCGACATAGCTGATACAACTGAGGATTGTAATCAGTTCCAGGTTCTAATTGCTGATGGGAAGAATGAATATTGGTATGTCTGTACTTGTGACTCGTTCACTCAAAGGCTGGAGGAAGCCATACTGATGTCCTCTCCTACCTGGAGTTGTTCAGTTGTTGGATGAAGGTACATGTCCGGGTTGATATTGTTGACCACGCTGTGGATGATCTTCTACAGCATCATCTGTTGGGCTTGGAGCCCGCGTCCAACCACCCAAGTCTCTCGAACATGGCAGTGACGCTGCTGTATCAGTTGGAATCGCCCATAGCTTACTGGGGTGCTCTCTGTTGAACCTTCTCTAGCTTGAAGATGTTGGCCTGGGTGTAGGGATTCCAGATGATACAACCATATTCCGAAATATGTCTTACTAGAGTGGTGTAACCGGTTTCCTTGATGTTAGTAAGGTTCTTCGCTAGAGGGAATTTCCCTTTTGCTCAGTGGTAGAGTGTCCGACTGAGGAAATCTAGGATCACAGTTTTGATCCCTGTGGAATAGTCCACTTACTCTCTTCCTGTTACAGCAGCCTTAACAATTATGATCTATTCTAACTCTGTTATAATCAGTTTTAACGGTCTAGTTCGGCTCATATGCCAAAGTTAAATATGTTTTTATCAATAACTAATAATTCTCAAAGTTAAAATTCGACAGCTGTCGATCCCTCTGAGAATCAATCCTTGTGTAACAGGACAGAGAATAGTGTGCTTCCACCGGGGATCAAACTCTCGATCTCCAGGTTCCTAGTCGGACACTCTACCGCTGAGCTAAAGGGAAATTCTCTCTCGCCCGAAAGTAGAAGGCGACCCTAATCCTATGTACATTAATAACTTCTGACACACTTGTAAGTTGTAACAGTTATCTCCCTTTACACATCAGCTAGCTATTATCACTTACATTATCATCACGAATCTTGACTGTTTCATAAACAGATATGTAGATCTCGACTCGTCTTATTTTAGATTTCGTCATAAACGCAATTCCTCTTACACAAGGTAAGCATAGGTAGGTAATTTCCTTCCTGAATGGTGGAGCATCAACCTGTTGATGGAGGCAATTACTGGAAGAAGAAGATTCCATTCCGGCTGTGACAGCGAATTCACAACCTGAACAAATGCATATTTTATACAAAAATTAAGACTTTTACCAATTTTTAAAACCTACCCCTGACATTATAATCTGAAAGCCTGGAATCGACAGGAATGGTCTAAAATGAAAGTAGATCTTCAGTCCAATCCTGTATCCACGTCGTTGTTTGCGCCATGCCGGTCAGACGCATTCTGTGTCATTTTTATGCTTGTAAAATTTCCGTAACACTCCCCCAATAGCAAACATTTGTAAGATTCTTTTAACGCAGTAACCTTTCGATGGAAAAAAGAAGGTCGTAATCGTCGTGAAGCAACTTTTGAAGAAAAATGGAAGATTACGCGAGAGATCCATGGTAAACTATTTTCAAGAATGTACAGTGTTATATTAACGCCAGTATTTCGCTAGTTTCACATGGTTTTATGTAATTTTAATCCACAAATGCCTTCGCCAGTACCACTGACATCCAACCACATGGTTACATCAGGCCATACATGTGCTTGGCAATGTATTCAGTTTTCTACTAGGTCCTTCAAATTGATAGTATCTTTAAAAGTCGTATTTAGATTTAATGTTCGAAATGAAATGCCAAGCGTTTTACTGAGACGCAGAAGTGGAAAGGGAGCTATAGGCCCAGATATAACTTATTACATAAATAATAAGGTGTCGGGGTCGTTTCGGTAACAAGACGAAAGTCGTTTCGGGATTTTTCATTTTTTTTCCCTCTGTAGATACTATTGTCTTTTTCTTTAAACATATTTTAATGTCAAATAAATTTAAACAATCGATTTGATAAAAATCAATAATGGAGAATAGAGTGAACATTATTTATTACAATATCAAACAAGGAATCAACCTATCAATAACGAAAGAAAGTGAATGTTGAATTTCACAAGTTCCTCTAGATCTGTATTTAATAATGAGATTAGTTTCATCAGGTAAATGTTGGTCGGTATCCCCTCAAGCACTAGCAATCTGGTAACACCATATATGATCCCAAGGACGGGTAAGTTGTGACACAGGTCATAGACTAAAACCATACTTGTGTATTTACAGGACTTTATATAAAACAGGAGCGAAATGTAATTTATAAGTGAAAATTGTATATTTCCCGAAACGACTTGATTTAGTCCCGAAATATCTTGTGTCATGTCCCGAAACGACTTCGGGACTCCCAAAACGACTTGTTACCTTACCGAAACGACTAGCATTCAATAATAATGTAGATGATTGCATAAGGTAACGGCATATTATAGAAAAAAATCTTTGTGTCGTAGCCTATATGTCTAGGGTTCGAATACCAACTGGCAGAGTGAACGTGGTATCTGGAAACAGTAGACTTTTGACATTTTTAAAGATACCAGACTTAGGGTTGTGGACCGTGCAGCCTATAAGTTTCCTCCGGCCCTGACACCAGACTTCAACATTTTGACAGATAGATGTCTGGTGTGGGGCCAGAGCTCACTGCTATATGAAAACAGGGAATTATCTGACACCGTTTGGTATTGGGGAATTTTGTGGTGCTGACAACAAAAAAATCTACTATGACATAACAAATACCTCGCATATATCGATAAATGGATTATTTATTTATCCAAATTCGCTCTTATTATCACCAACAGCTGCTAAATTCCGCCAGTAGAGTACTTAGTTTTCCATTGTTGAAAGTTTCTCGTCTGAGCAAAGGCCATTTTGTAGGTCATTGGAGTGACTAGACGCGGTCTGGAAATCTTTTTTATACAAGAATAATATTTTTCGTTTTCAGTCTGGATCAGTACGGTCGTTTGGACCTTATCCTGTTCGCCCAAGGTTGTTTTGCCCTTAAATAATTATACATTTTTAGGTTATGAACATCAGCTGAAATTTGAAATGGTTTTTAATTATCAAAAAAGCTAATTATTTTTATGTTTCACTATGGAATCTGAAGTCTGTGGTTTCATGAGCCCATGTCTTGTTGAAAAAAAATCATGCTACATCGTATACGTGTGTGTAGATCTGGTTGACCACGTACAAATTTAACGAGTCTTATAACAAAAAGGTGGACCTAGAAAAACTTTATTAGCCATACTCAATTAAACAGGATAAAACAATTTCGCCCAAAAATATTTTTAGGACGAAACAACTTAGTGCCAATTTGCAAAAATAACCCGAGGCGAACAGGATTTAGTACGAATTGACCCGAAACTGTTTTGTCCAGACTTCACACTTGTTTTACTGTATATAGCGCATATCCACATACTTTGCATATATGGATATCACATTATGTTAATATTCTATAGATGCAACTGTGCCGTTAGAAAGGTAGACATCAACCATTTCAAACCTTTACAGAACGGTTAAATTTCTAACAACATAGATTTCGACAATCACTTTGGTAGGTCCAAATATCGTGAGATCTTGCGAGACAAAGGTGTTTTCCCAAATATTTGCTTTATTATAAGTACACTATTAAGCAGCATTTCAGTACAATTTATTTTCTAGTTATAATAATCATAATCAGTATCTGTTAAAGGTTTTACTACATTATTTTTTTTATTCATACCAAAAGTATTTCGTCGCCTGACTGCTGCCTACAGTTGTGGCAATGGTCGGCAACTTGATGATGAAAAGAAGGTTTTAAATTGTCATTGTTAATATTTTCATCCATGTAGTGGCAGAGATTTAAACCTATCGGCTTTCCATCCTTGTATGTGGAAAGTATGTTTTCCTCATTGCGGATATACTTCAGAATACGAGTAAACATTTAGTGAAGTTCTCACCGAACCCAGTGCACAATTTTTTCAACAAAAAAAACAAACAAGGACATCGCATCGAAAATATGTTAAGAGAAGTTTTATTATTAGTTAATACAGACTATACTTTATGATACACAATAAATGATCGACACCATCAAGTGTTGTTTTGGGATGCTGAAAAAAGAATTGCTAGCCATAATACCTAAATAAGCAATTATTTCAAACTACCTATTTAGTCACGAATCACTTTTCTGTGATGTTTATGAAAAGATTAGTAGATATAGACTAGAGAAAAGTTACCTGTATTTTTTTTCATTTACACATATATTTTCTTCATTTTGTTTTATCAAACACAAACCATTTCAATAGCTTTTATTTTACTTTCAAAGAAATCCAAAGTGCTCCTGATCATGATCCCTAAATGACAATACATTTACTTTTGTAATTACAGTACACATCTGAGTTGCTGGTACATGTTATATGATATTTGTTCTGAGTGAAATATATAAAACTTAAAACTTTGTATATTTGTGAATAAAAACATCATTTAAGCAGAAATGTTGATATGTAATATTACTATAGTGTATCTGCTTTGTTTGCCTTGCAGTCCATGGAGAATCATGGATGACTGTGGGGGAGCCTTCTCCATTGGTATTATTGGCGGCTCAATATTCCACGGATTCTCGGGATATAGAAATGCTGCAAAAATACCGGTATGTAATGAACAAATCATTTCTTACATTTCGATAAGAATTACAGTCCAACTCTATTAATCCAGATGCTACTGGTAATGATGTTTTTTTTGCTTAACAGATAAAAAATATAAAGCAAGTAATTTTGGTATTTTACAGATTTTAGAAATAATAATATCCCATATCAGACAAGTAAGGAATTTTTGATACAGAAAAATATATGTATTATATATATCCTAAGAAAAATCAAATTAAAGTCTTAAAGAATTCCTTGTTTCAGAACTAGACAGTTGTTATCAGGATTATATGTGTTATACAACTTCTTGTTTTGTTTTGTTTTGCAGGGCAAATGGAACAGGCTTACTGGGATGGCACACAATATTAGGACTAAATCTCCAATCACTGGAGGTAATTATTCTCTTTAAATTTACAAATCAAGTATGATAAAGTCAAACAAATAATATTTTGTGTTTCCAGTAACCTTACCTTCCCAAATTTTTATGCCTTGCCTTTTTTAGGCAAACTTTTTCAAACATGTTTCTGGTAACACACTTATATTTTTGTTTTGCCCAAAGTAGGTTGTGCAGGCAAACCTGCTTGACAGCAAGTATTACACATCTCCAATGACTTCAAAATTCCATCAGTATTGCCATATAATCATTGGTGATTAAAATTGTTGATGAAATATAAAAGTTATAAATGCAAGGAAAAAAATTCAGGTTGGTATTAGACTAGTCATTGGTTTTGATCTTTCAGACTCTTCAATATTTGGAAAAAAAAGTTGGCACTGTTTAAGTGTTTGTGTAAGAATGTTTCTTGATAGATGTGTCACCTTTATCATTACAGGTAACTTTGCAATATGGGGAGGTTTATTTTCCGGAATTGACTGCTTGTTGGTTTACTTTCGAGGAAAGGAAGACTATATCAACTCAATTGTCAGCGGGGCTGCCACAGGGGGGATTCTTTCTGTACGAAGTGAGTATGAGAATATTGTAAAAACAAACACAGGGGTGCTAGCCTTTATATGGGCATTAGATGTTAATTTACCTATGATACTTTTTGTTGATTGCTGTTTTCCATTATATTATTTTGTTTGATACTGTTCAAGAGGAAAATTTCGCAGTCAGAATTTAGCCATCCTCTGGTGTAATCCTTATTCGCTGAGTGTTGATTTTGCCCTTCACATGTAATAATTATATATGGTTTGTGGTGTCCTTATATTCACTATCATGTTAAACTCATACAGAGGGGAAAAAGGGAAAAGTTAAACTGTGGCCAAATTTTCCCAGGATACAGTACATATGTATTTTCTATTACAGTATCACAATAAGACACAATACCAAAAAAATGGAATGAATATGTATTGCTGACACTACCGAAAGATCTTCAGATTGAAGAGTTCATTCAAATTAAACCTTTGTTTACTTTTTAAAATGTTATGGAATTGCGATGTAGCAGAATTAAAAAAAAAAGTTTATATAGAAGATTCTTCAGGCCTTGTCAAAGCATTGTATAGTAGATGAACAATCTAGCTGAGTAACAAGTTTAAGTCTCAATTGTCAATATTATTTGACCATTTTAGATGGACCGTATCAGATGATGGCATCAGCTGCTATAGGTAAGTACATTACGTATAAACGTTTGTAAATAAAGCTGTCATGTTCATAAGACCGTCTTCATATACCATAGCTGTTGCAAGGATGTTAAACCCTACACAAGTAAACAAATGATTTGTAAATGTTTACGGAGATGATATTACATGAAAAATGTCCAGCATGAGTCTGTTTAGAATTAGACTTGTAAGTTCCGTTTCACTATGGTACACTCCAATACAATCTTGTATAACAGTGTATCATAGTGGTACAGAATAACAACTTTCTTTTAATGAGACAGTTCAAATATAAACATAGCTTTGTATTTTGTGGAAATTTAAATCTTTAACATGCCAATCATTTGGGGGCAGTAAATGATGTTTAAATTTCCAATTCATAAAAATGCTACCATACACTCCCTGAGGTTTTTGTATTTATATATATATAATTCCAAGGTTATCTCCCTTTACAGGTGGTTTATTGCTGGGTATGATTGAAGGAGTCGGTATCTTCATTACCTACATAACAGCTTCCCAGTTTGATCCTGGTAAGTCTAATATCATGTCGTATTATCTTGTATGTTATGTATATAGATATTTTATAACTGTATCTTATGGTCTGAAATGAAAAAAAATCTTCGCTAAAAATCTAGTTATAACCTAAATTTTGTCGTACATATTATGTATGGGCATAACATTTTGATTGTCAATTTTGAACTGCTCTACTATTAGGAAATTTTCCATATTTATATTTTCAAATAACAGCAAATTTCTTTTGTCAACAGCCAACAGACAAATGATGGAGGATCCCAATCAACTCCCTGACAAACCAGTAGGAAATACAAATATGTACGGAATGGCTTCCTATCAATGATGTTCTTCAATGTAGGCGTTATAGAGAATGTGATAATGACTGCTTTCTGCTCAATGTCATCCTCTTGAGCAGATATTAACCTCATGGATAGGCATTTACTTTCCAGGACAGATGCTGCTCTCATGTATATAGCCCTTATGGATAGATATCACTCTTGTGGGTTATGTTTATGAATACAGAAATGATGTACATAGGTATCACACTAAAAGAGAGGTATCACCTTCATAGAGAGGAAACGCTGTGGTAGAAAGATATCACGGTCATGGACACTTCATTGTGCCAAGCAGTTGATACAGAACAGTGTGAAATTATGAATGCCTCGTACGATCTGTGGTTTCCGTGGTTCAAATTATACTGTGTGAGTGCTTCATGATGCAAGTGTTTGTTGTGTGTTAGAGGTCATTGTGGTGGTGCCCTGTCCCGTGCACTGTGGTTAATTACGTTACAGCAGCTGCTGGCATATGTCAGCGAGCATTAACAAATATTTATTGATTTCGTTTACTTGGAAATGAAAAGTCTGCCTTCATAAATTCTTTTTGTCTAATCAAAATGATGAAATATTGCATTATATTAGTGGCAATTAAATTAGTGTTTTAATCAGGATTATGAAATATGACCTTTCTGGCTTTCAGCAATCATTGAATTCAACCCAGGACATCACTTGATATCTGACTCTGAAGGGGTAACTTGGGATGAACATGCTTTTTACAGATCTGAAATATTACTTATCCTGGTGGTAACTCAGACTTCCTTGGTGATCACGCTGGAAACTTCGAAACGTTCTGTTTTTGGGTTGGGTGGGCTTGTATGTGGAGTCTAGGTCATATCTCAAATAATACTTTTAAAAGTTGCTAAGAAAAGCAATAACCAAAGTTCTGATTGCGAATTTATGTTTCAACATTAAGTTCAGTGCAGCATTGTGAATTTGAGTCAGCACTGTAATACCTACAAGTGTATTTCACTATAAATACATGTTTTTATGTTTAATTTGCATAGGGCCTCGGTAACACAATTTTGTTTTTGTGAATTTAAATTCCTATGAATTAATTGTTGATCAAACAATTGTATAAATAACTAGTGGCGGAAATTGAACAATTTCTCTACAGAATTAGAACTGTTCAGATATCGAGAAAGCATATAAATAATATTACGGGTACCGACATAAAGATCCCCTGACATCATGTGTATGATGCATGGATTTCAATGTTTTTATGTATTTTTACGTAAGTTTATGCCATGGTGAGAGTTTTGAGTTTGTTACCACCTCTACAATGTAAATGTGTGTTTGTGTGTAGAGTTTGTTTGTGTGTAGCGTTTGTTAAAAGACTTGAGTGTGTAGTAAGAGAGTTGTATAAGTTCATCTTTAGTATATATATGTATTACATACACAGCTGATTAATCTGTGTTAATTTTATGGTGAACATTGTTTTATTAACGGTTGTTACTGAGCTATTACACATTCACATCATTTTTTGTCTATTTCATTGATATTGTGTTATTTAACAGTGATATTTGACTGTCAATGTCACTGATATTTGACTGTCGGTGACATTGAACAGTCGAGGTCACAACATCATTTATTCTTGTAATAGCACATTTTACAAGATTTAATTCACGTTTAACTCATCAAAGTCGGATAGTCCTGATGAAAGCTTTGTTCTAAGATTTCACGTACACAGTTAAAAATGGTAATAAACTAGATAAAACTTGATTGATTTAATATTCATCTTGTTTGACAATGTCTTTAATATAATACGTTATATACAAAGTCTTACCAAGATGGTTGTATGGAATTGTGTTAAATCTCTTTACAGTACCGTACACATGCAGTAGGTTACTACCAAACAATGACATTCTGCTTGTGTGTACTGGAAGTCATTGTGTTTAACTTTTGCCCTCCATAATGAGGAACAAATTATCATGTCTTTAAATATAAGCACGCAACATACTTCATGTATTTATAACAATTCCTATGGCTAGAATGGATGGGTACTACTGTTGTCATACACATGTGACTTCTGTCCACTCATGAAGTTGACATACCTATATGGAATTACTGTGGAGATATGATGTAAAAGAGTACCTGTTTGATATATATATGGCTGTTTGATATGTAAAGTTTGACAAAAAATAAAAATAGGAAAGGACTAAATTGTTGTCATGCTTTGTTTTATGTAACGACTAACACATTTTTATATTGAGACCGGCTATCAATGTTTTGTTTGGGAGACCAGCCATCAATGTTTTTTCATGACATGTTTGACGGAAAAACAACGGTGTCTTATTTTACCTTTACTTAAGTGTTAACCTAGTATTAAAGGAACCCTGTACAACTGCCTAAAACTTTTTTTCCCCAGCATGACTTTAGTGTTAATAAATCCTTTCTGAAAAGAATATCATACATTGCGGGACTTCTATGAAAAAATAGGGAAGATGAAATAATTTCGGCCGAGACAAATCGGGATCAGAACCCTGCTCTTCAGATTGTTAAGCTATCCCTCACACTGGATGAGCTACCTGGTCAGCGGGAGTCTGTTCAAACTGTGCTTCAGTTATATCCAAAACGAAACTAAAAGAAGCTTACTATTTATGAAAAACTACGATGCTGTGGGACAGGGATCCATAAAAATACTGAATATTAAAAAAAACCTTTACAGATGGCTCAGATCATGACTGTTTGGCAGTTTCTATGCATCGGCTTACACGTTGGTAGAACTCTTCAATATTGCTGAAGGTGCGTTGTATGTCCATCCATCCTTCGTCAACAGTTTAACAATTTTGTATGGATTCTAAGGGCAAAATGAATTGGATATATCACAAATAAAGATTGTAATCCCAACCACATCTTTAGATTTAAGAACGGTTGGAAACATTTTGACCAAATTGGTATCGAGCAGCATCCTTGCAAATGTACGGTGTTGATTAGGCCCTTCCTCTATTGATCTCTATCATATGGTTAATATATATCCATGAGCAAAAAATGATTCATTTATGAAAGTTGTATTCCTGATTAAATTTAAGTCGCAACATAGTTTTAAAATACATAATCCCCAAAATACAATGTTAAATATCCTGGTCTAAAGATGTTTCATGCCAAGTTACATGTAAACAAGAAGATTGGGATCAACAGCAGTTAACACCGTACATTTGTAAATGGGACCACAGATGATGGCATCACTGCTTAGGTCAGTGTACATTTGCTCTCTGTGGCTTATCAGTCGTAACGATACTTTTTTTACGTTTATTACATATTACAGACTAACCAAAAGATCTGGAAAACGCTTTGTTAACTTCCAATCGGATAACCCGTATACAAAATGCCTATATTTTTGAAAGTTACATATTATCACTCTCTTATCATAAATGAAGGTACTTTGTGTGTCGCATGTACAGTGTTCAAGTGAAATATAACATAATGCTACGCTATGTCTTTTTTAATTCACTGAAATACTTATCACACAAAGACGACACTGACTATGTAATTGACACAAGGCTATAATTAAGGAGCACGTGTAAGGTAGCAAAATACAATCTATTTAGAAACAAATATAATTTGACACAAACATCAAAACCCTTCGTGACAGCTCATTTATACAGATAACACCCAAATAAAGCAAGTTATCAATTTAGACATTGACCACTTTACCTTGATTTCTATTTTCATATCAAAACAATCAGAAATTGATAACAATACGTTGCATAGGTCCCAGCTAACATTTATTTTATCGATCTATTTATTGGTAGAAATTACTTCATTCTCAAAGCAACGGCACCGCAATACAAAATCAACGAAAGTACCAAATATACAATGTATGTTTATCAAATACACATCTTCTAAATAGTACAATTTTGACATTGCATCGGGTAAGAATCATATTCTAGTCTATACATGTTTACTCAATGTCCTACATAATGTTCCAAAAGAATTCCTCCCGCATAATGTTCCCAAAACAAATATGAACTACATAATGTTCCTACTGAAACCTATACTACATAACATTCACAAAGAAACCTATCCTACATAACATTCACAACGAAACCTCTCCTCTATAACATTCACAAAGAAACCTCTCCTGCATAACATTGACAAAGAAACCTCTCCTGCATAACATTGACAAAGAAACCTCTCCTACATGACATTCACAAAGAAACCTCTCCTACATAACATTCACAAAGAAACCTCTCCTACATACCATTCACAAAGAAACCTCTCGTACATACCATTCACAAAGAAACCTCTCCTGCATAACATTCACAAAGAAACCTCTCCTGCATAACGTTCACAAAGAAACCTCTCCTACATAACATTCACAAAGAAACCCTTCATACATAACATTCACAAAGAAACCTCTCCTTCATAATATTCACACAAAAAAACTCTCCTGCATAACATTCACTAAGAAACCTCTCCTACATAACATTCACAAAGAAACCCTTCATACATAACATTCACAAAGAAACCTCTCCTACATAACATTCACCAAGAAACCTCTCCTACATAACGTTCACAAAGAAACCTATCCTACATAACGTTCACAAGGAAACCTATCCTACAAAACGTTCACAAAGAAACTTTTCCTGCATAACATTAACAAAGAAACCTCTACTACATAACATTGACAAAGAAACCTCTCCTACATGACATTAACAAAGAAACCTCTCCTACATAACATTCACCAAGAAACCTCTCCTACATAACGTTCACAAAAAAACCTCTTCTACATAACATTCACAAAGAAACCTCTCCTTGATAATATTCACACAAAAAAACTCTCCTGCATAACATTAACAAAGAAACCTATCCTACATAACATTGACAAAGAAACCTCTCCTACATGACATTCACAAAGAAACCTCTCCTACATAACATTCACCAAGAAACCTCTCCTACATAACGTTCACAAGGAAACCTATCCTACAAAACGTTCACAAAGAAACTTTTCCTGCATAACATTAACAAAGAAACCTCTCCTACACAACATTGACAAAGAAACCTCTCCTACATAACGTTCACATAGAAACCTTTCCTGTATACCATTCACAAAGAAACCCTTCCTACATAACATTCACAAAGAAACCTCTCCTACATAACATTCACAAAGAAACCTCTCCTACATAATAATGTCCACAAGGAAACCTCTCATGCATAACATTCACAAAGAAACCTATCCTACATAATCTTCACAAGGAAACCTGTCCTACATAAAGTTTACAAGGAAACCTATCCTACATTACGTTCATAAAGAAACCTATCCTACATAATGTTCCCAAAGAAACATGTCCTACTTAATGTTCACAAAAAACCTATCATAATTAATGATTACAAGGAAACCTATCAAATATGATGAAATCATTAGATTGGGAATCTTTATCACAAAGAAGAGCAAAAGCTAGATTGTCAATGCTATACAAGATCTCGAATAACATCGTTAAAATTAACCCATCATCATGCTGGACATCAGCTAACAGACGAACAATGGGGGCACATAAAATAAACACAAAATCTCCCCAAAAGAGGCTTACACATTCTCTTTTTTCCCAAGAACTATTATAACTTGGTAACTCCTACATAATATTGACAAAAAAACCTCTCCTGCATAACATTCACAAAGAAACCTCTCATACATAACATTCACAAAGAAACCTCTCATGCATAACATTCACAAAGAAACCTCTCCTATATAACGTTCACAAGGAAACCTCTCCTACATAACATTGACAAAGAAACCTCTCCTACATAACGTTCCCAAAGAAACATATTCTACATAACTTTCTCAAAGAAACATATTCTACATAACGTTCACAAAAAAGCCTCTTCTACATAACGTTCTCAAAGTGACATATCCTACATAACGTTCTCAAAGTGACATATCCTACATAATATAACGTTCACAAGTAAACCTCTCCTACATGACATTCCCAAAGAAACCTCTCCTGCATAACGTTCTCAAAGTAACATATCCTACATAACGTTCCCAAAGAAACATATCCTGCATAAAGTTTTCAAAGAAACCTTTCCTACATAACGTTCTCAAAGAAACATATCCTACATAATATTCCCAAAGAAACATATTCTACATAACGTCCCAAAGTAACATATCTTACATAATATTCCCATAGAAAGATATCCTACACAAAGTTCTCAAAGAAACATCATAATATTCACAAAGAAACATATCCTGCATAAAGTTTTCAAAGAAACCTTTCCTACATAACGTTCTCAAAAGAACTATTATAACTTGGTAACTCCTACATAATATTGACAAAAAAACCTCTCATGTATAAAATTAACAAAGCAACATTTAATAAATAACATTCACAAAGAAGGCTCTCCTGCATAACATTGACAAAGAAACCTCTCATACATAACATTCACATAGAAATCTCTGCTGCATATCATTCACAAAGAAACCTCCCATACATAACATTCACATAGAAATCTCTGCTGCATATCATTCACAAAGAGACCTCTCCTACATAATATTGACAAAAAAACCTCTCCTACATAATGTCCTCAAAGAAACATATTCTACATAACGTTCTCAAAGTGACATATCCTACATAAAATTCTCAAAAAAACATCCTACATAACTTTCTCAAAGAAACATCATAATATTCACAAAGAAACATATCCTACATAAAGTTGTCAAAGAAACCTATCCTACATAATGTTCCCAAAGAAACATATTCTACATAACGTTCACAAAAAAACCTCTTCTACATAACGTTCTCAAAAGAACTATTATAACCTGTTTACTCCTACATAATATTGACAAAAAAAACCTCTCCTACATAATGTTCACAAAGAAACCTCCCATACATAACATTCACATAGAAATCTCTGCTGCATATCATTCACAAAGAAACATATCCTGCATAACGTCCCAAAGTAACATAACTTACATAATATTCCCAAAGAAACATATTCTACATAACGTTCACAAAAAAACCTCTTCTACATAACGTTCTCAAAAGAACTATTATAACCTGTTTACTCCTACATAATATTCCCAAAGAAACATATTCTACATAACGTTCACAAAAAAGCCTCTTCTACATAACATTCACCAAGAATCCTCTCCTACATAACGTTCACATAGAAACCTTTCCTGTATACCATTCACAAAGAAACCCTTCATACATAACATTCAC